GCTGGCCCCCCCCCCGCCCCGCCCCGCCCCGCCCCGCCCCTGCGCTCTGGCGCGGCGCCCAGACTCCGGAGTCGCTCAGCAGTGCGGCCTGGACGCCGAGCCTCGGCACCGGGCCGCAGCGTATGCCTCTGAGCGTGCGCAGAGTTCCCTTCTGCATCAGTCATGCCACGCTCAGACCTTCGTGGCCGAACAACACAAGCAGAGGGAGAATCCTTAACAAGGTTAATCCGTCTCTTCGGTATTAAAAATGAAACCCAGCGCTTGCTGGTGACCCTGAGCATGTTGTGACTTTCTGTGGTTATGCTTCTCGCCCACCGCCCAGGGGTCAACCCAAATTAGACCGGCCTTCCAGTAGGATTTCTTCAGAACATAAACTGGCCAATAGCCAAACACAGAAGGAGGCTAAGTGCAGGATTAGGGAAGCAACCTGCTCTAAGTCTGCACCTGTCCTTCTGGGCCCTGGTTTGGGTATTGGGCTACTTTTCTTAGGGCTCCCCTAGAACTTCCCTGGGGAGCGAAAGGCGGCATGGTACAGCCCGATCTGGTCAGATCTTGGAAGCGAAACAGGGTCAGCCCCACTTAGAACTTAGATGGGAGACCACCAAGGAAGGCTCTGCAGAGGAAGGCGATGGCCAACCACCTCTGCTTCTCCTTTGCCTTGAAAGCCCCTTGCTGGGAGAAGCTAAGCAGGGTTGGTACTTGGATGGGAGAACACCAAGGAAGGCTCTGCAGAGGAAGGCCATGGCCAACCACCTCTGCTTCTCCTTTGCCTTGAAGGCCCCTTGCTGGGAGAAGCTAAGCAGGGTTGGTACTTGGATGGGAGAACACCAAGGAAGGCTCTGCAGAGGAAGGCCATGGCCAACCACCTCTGCTTCTCCTTTGCCTTGAAGGCCCCTTGCTGGGAGAAGCTAAGCAGGGTTGGTACTTGGATGGGAGAACACCAAGGAAGGCTCTGCAGAGGAAGGCCATGGCCAACCACCTCTGCTTCTCCTTTGCCTTGAAAGCCCCTTGCTGGGAGAAGCTAAGCAGGGTTGGTACTTGGATGGGAGACCACCAAGGAAGGCTCTGCAGAGGAAAGCAATGGCCAACCACCTCTGCTTCTCCTTTGCCTTGAAATCCCCTTGCTGGGAAAAGCTATGCAGGGTTACTACTTAGATGGGGGACCACCAAGGAAGGCTTTGCAGAGGAAGGCCATGGCCAACCACCTCTGCTTCTCACTTGCCTGGAAAGCCCCTCACTGGGTCGCCACAAGTCAGCCGCAACTTGATGGCACTTTACACGCATACGCATAGTGTATCCATGCTCCCTTATACACAATACAGCAAGCCTATACAGCCGTTGAGGGTTCTAGGCTCCCAATTTTGTGGATCAATTTCAACACACATCTTTTCAGAGCTGAACACCCAGCACCTTTTGTGTAGCAGATAATTTGGTGAGACTAGAGCCAGTTTCCTCAACAGGCTGGTTCAGCGGAATCTAGCTGCTGGTGAAACAACTACTATAGCGTTGCTGTGGTATGTTACATGAATAACCCTATTTTGTTGCTAGTTGCAGACAGCTGCCAAACTGCAACCAGATACCCAACGACCAGGTCTCTGCCCCTTTGGAGCACCACTCCTGCTGGGAGGGATTGCACCTTTCCCCAAAATGCGGGCACGTGTACCCCCCCTCCAGAAATCCCCAGCAATTCACTCTGAAAGGAGAAGCAGTTGAGGACCAAGGGAAGAGGAAGCTGCAAAAGGGATTTGGCTTTTTCTTATTAAGGGAGTAGGAAGAAATACCGTAGCCGGAGACTCTACACCCCAGCAGCCGCGCTGTGTTCTGAAGAGAACAGGCCAGGGGCAGATCTCACCCACAGCGTCTAGGAGAGCCAGTGGTTAAGTGTCGGAGTCTGAAGGTCACTGGACGACCCACAGCCAATCATGCCCTCTCAGCCTGGCCTACCTCACAGGGTTGTTGTGAGGCTAAAAATGGAGAACAAATTAAGCTGCTTTGGGTCCCCATTGGGGAAAAGGACGGGGTACAAATGAAGGAGTCAAAACCCCAACCCTCCTTCACTCCAGTTTCCATCGGTGCTTGAAGCAAGCAAGCCAAGGCAACCAAATAGTGCCCTTATTCCCTCTCCCAGATACTAGAGCGGGGGGGGGGGCATTTTTCAAACCAGAACTGCGTCTACTTCTCTCCCTTCTGTGCCCCGTCCTCTTGACGTCAGCTACAGCCTCTTACGCATCTCTAAAACTAAGCAGATGGAACGTTCCTGGGATTGATGCCACTTTCCCCTTCGCCAGCAAGATGTACAAAGGCAGCCCACGGAGGGACGACACACCCGTCCATAACCTTAGGGGGCGGGGCGTTCTTGGGGGTTTTGTACTTTTTCATGTGTGCCTATATGGGAGTGTGCAAGTGCGTGTGCACCTGGAAGTCATGGCGACCCCTGGTGACTGACCCCTACTGGGGGCCTGGAGGGTATTCAGAGAGGGGGCTGAAGAAGGCCTGCGTATTCCAAGGAGGTCTCCCACCCAAGGACTTGCCGGGGTCGGCCCTGCTTCGCTTCCGAGATCTGACGAGACAGGGCTTGCCTGGCCTATCCAGGTCAGGGCAACTTTTTTGGTTTTGACAGACCCTGCTGGAGGGGAGCGGGAAAGCGAAAGCAAGCGCAGCTTTAGGCAGAGGCCTTTTGAAGCAGATTCATGGCTCAGCCGAGTTTTTGAACCTTTAGGACCCGTCCTGGGGCTTACCCCCTACCACCAAGGCAGCAGCAGAACCCAGAGCAAAAAAAAAAAGTAGTCTCAAGTTGTACACTCAAAGCGCACAAGGACTGCCCTCTTCCCAGCTTGATCCTTACTGAAAGTAATACCTGCAAGTCTGCTGCTGGAGGAGGATTTGTGCAGCGTTGCGGCAGGGAGGAAGGCTCCCCTCTCCCAGACACTCCAGTGCAGTAGCAGCTTACGAGAGCAACGAGAGCGCTGAAATGAAGCCAGCTGCTGTGTTTCAGTTTATTGCAGGGCCGTGGCTCGGCTATAGGTCTAGTGCTTTGCAAAGAGAAGGACCCAATTTCAGAAGAGAAGGAGGAGGAGATTGGATTTATATCCTGCCCTTCACTACCCGAAGGAGTCTCAGAGCAGTTTCCCTTCCCCTCCTCACAACAGACACCCTGTAAAGTAGGTGGGGCGGAGCGAGCTCTTTCAAGGACTGCTCTTGAGATAACAGCTCTGAGAGAACCGTGGCTGACCCAAGGTCACCCAGCTGGCTGCATGTGGAGTGGGGAATCAAACCCGGTCCTCCAGATTAGAGTCTGCCACTCTTATCCACGACACCACGCTGGCTTTCTGTTCCTTTCACTAGAAGCACCAACTCTCTGAAGGAGGCGAGAATTTGCGGCAAAGGAAACGGAAGCCCCGCTAAATAGCAAACAGTGCCTTACTGCCTGAGCCACAGACTAATTTCAGAGGGCAGCTGTGTTAGTCTGCAGTAGAAGAGCTGGATTCGAGTCCAGGAGCGCCTTTGAGACCAGAGTTTTGGGGTATAAGCTTCCGTGAGCCAACGCCTTGGCATCTGACGAAGGGAGCTTGGATTCTCAAAAGGTTGTACCCTGAGAGTCTCATGGGTCTCGTAAGGGGCTCCTGGACACTTAATTGAGCTGTTCTACTGCAGACCAACACAGCTGAACTCTGAAACTCAACCCCACCCCCCTCCAGCTCAGCTCTTCAGCAGACCGGTGCTCCTCCCTCCCACCCAGGAAGAAAGAGGCAGAGTCGGCCGCCGTGCCCTGATTTTTAAGTTTTATTATACATTCTTCATGGCGTGGCAAGGGGGTCACGGGAAGCTTTCCCCGGGCCCCAGACCAAAGTCAGAAAAATACACGTTAGACCTCTGCCTCAGCTCGGCTACCTACGGCAGGGCCTGGAGGCTTTTCTTTTCAAGCAGGAAAACTAGTTTCTCTTCAAATAGGAAAATAGATATATTTATATGTGTGCGCATATGAACCTAGACAGGAGGGGGGAAAATATACAGTTAGAAGAGTTACTAGCTGGGAAAGCCGCTCTTTCAGCGGGGACTGAGTCTATCGGCTCCGAGGAGGGCAGGGGGGGGGGGGATCCGTCTGAAAGGCCAAGGAGGTATAATGTAGTCAAGGCAGTCTGTCCGGGGAGGGGAGACGTTTGCTCAATCTTGGTTAAGAGATGGCCTTGGCCTCCGGCAGGAACGCATCCCAGTACTTGACCAGCTGCAGAGAACACACAAGGGAGAGAGGAAGGGGAAATTAGCAAGAACGGCAGAAACCCCCCCCCCCTTTCACGGCCGCTTTCCTAGGAGGAGGAAGCCCTTGAGGACACACTTCCTCTGCCTGTTTGGTCTCCAGGTTTGATCTCTGGGCCCCTCCAATTCAAGGGAGCTCAAGTCGCCTTGCCCTGGATAGCCCAGGATAGCCCGATCTCATCAGACCTCAGGAGCTAAGCAGGGCCGGCCTTGGTCAGTCTTTGGCAGGGGAATCCACCAAGGAATGACACAAGAGGCAGGCAACAGCAAACCACCTCTGAATGCCTCTCGCCTTGAGAAGCTCACTGGGTCATGATAAATCAGCACGTTGCAAGAGAGACCTTTTCTTCTATGATACCGATGGGGAATTGCTGCCAGGCGGAGTAGACAGTTCTGAGCCAGACAGACCAGCGACGGAGCTCCGTCCTGAAAGAGGCAGCCTCACAGACTCAGGAGTTGAGTTCAGGTTGTTCCTGCCTCCGCCAAAGGCTGTGGCTCCGTGGCAGAGCACCGGCTCGGCGCACCGAAGGTCCCAGGTCCAACCCTGGGCCTCTCCAGTTAAAAAGGAGCATCTCAAGGGGGTGGTGTTCAGTGTTCCCTCTAAGCTGAGTTACTGTGAGCTAGCTCACAGTTTTTTAGCCTCTGGCTCTCACATTTTTGCCTTGGCTCAGGAAGGAGGGCTCCAGAGCAAACTGATTTATGCAGCAGCCAAATCACTCGTTCACAACTTCAATGCCAGTAGCTCACAAAGTAGAATTTTTGCTCACAAGACTCCACAGCTTAAAGGGAACATTGGTGGTGTTTGCCCTGACCCGGATAGCCCAGGCAAACCCGATCTCGTCAGATCTTGAAGCTAAGCAGGGCCGACCTGGCAAGAACTTGGAAGGGCGACCTCCAAGGAAGACCAGGGCTGGGACACGGAGGCAGGCAATCTAGCCACCTCTCTGAAATGTAGCCCCACTAGGGGTTGCCAGAAGTCACCACGACTTCCAGGCTCGCAAGCACACACACAGACGGCACAGAGGTGTTGGGGAAAGACCGTTCGCTGCCAGAGACCCCGGGCAGCTGCTGCCTAGAGCAGACGATACTGGGCTAGAAGGGCCAGGGGTCTGACCTCCAAGACAGCATCACATGTTCGTACTCGCTTGTGCCTTCCTGGGCAGAATCAGACCGATGCCTTGTGTAAGGGAGGGCCGGAGCCAGTCTCTCTCGCCCCGGGCAGGGCTACCCCGCTGGACAGCCCACCAGTGCAGGCCGACACCCATGGCTGATCGGGACATCTGTGGGCCCTGTGCCTGACAAGCAGCTAGTGGGCATTTCACTGGGACGCGCTGGTTTCCGAGGCCTCTCCAGAGTCCACAAGGGAGGAAAAGCACACCTCGTGGTTTGCTGGCTCACCTGCTGCTGTGAATGCAAGAGGGTCTCCAGGTACTTGGTCACGTTGGTCCGGAAGTCCTTTGTTTTCTCTCTCTGAGAAAAAAAAAAGGGGGGAGGATACATTAAAAAATGCAAGAGCCGATTGGTGCCTTTCCACTGGGAAACAACGACATGGCAGGAGCCCAGCAGTCCCCCTCCTCCATCTGTACAGCTGCATTCGAGTTTGATCCATCGACACAATCCCGTGCCACAATATGCAGTAGCCCTCTATCGATCACACAGAGGAAAAGAACCTCCTTACTTCTATTTGTGCAGCTAAAACCACAATAGCATCCACTCGGAAATCCAACAGTAAACTAAACACAAACCTCTGGTACAAAAAACTATGGAATCTTTATATAATGGAAAAAAATCTCTGACACTTTGAAACAAAGCAAAATCTAAAGGTGAACATAATGATATTGCATGTATACGGTCTCCTATACTAGCACATCTAACTACTAAAGAAGCAGTACCTGATGTAATGAACACGCTACACCTTTGGTAACACTCACAAAATGTATCAATGATGTACTGTATGAAATGTATGGAAATGATCAGTATCATTCTTCAGATTAGTGTATATAGAACAGACTGTACACACTCGCTTATTCTGTAAAACCTTGTTGTAGATGGAAATTGAATAAACTTTATTGAAAAGAGAGAGAAAAGCCAAATTAGCTCTGGAAAGGGCCCTCCCCCTGCCTTTTACTGACAGAAACCAAGGCCTGAAAACTGGCAATACTGTTGTGGTTGCCTGACAACACCCACAATGGCTACTGAGAGGGCATTCAGTTCTTAAAGCTACAAATGCCGCTCATATTGTTTGGGGAGGTTAACCCACAATGGGGTTTGTTTATTTTAAGATCTCAGGGGGCGGGGTTTGGCAAACCTGGGACAAGAAAAAGTTTAATATACGTCTGCTCTGATTGGATTAAGTATTCTATAAATATATAATGTTTGTATAATGTGATTTATTAAGTATTTGAATTTATTTTGAAAAGTTATATTATCTTGTTATGTTTATATGTTGTGTTTTTGAATTGTTGTATCGAAAAATAATAAAAGATTTATTTAAAAAATGATGTACTGTACGAAATGTATGGAAACGATTGGTATCATTCTTCAGATTAGTGTCTATAGAGCAGACTAAACACTCGCTTATTCTGTAAAATCTTGTTGTAGATGGAAATTGAATAAACTTTATTGGGGGGGGAAGCCCTCAAGCTGCTGCAACGATCGCTGAGCCATCGATCCCTGTTCTGCAGCCACACCTCCAGCTGTGCTAGGAGAGGTCCGTGGTGGAATTTGAAAGCAGATGCCTGCCTAGTCTTTTGTCACACTGGCGGGAGAGACCCCGTGCCAGAGAGGTGGGTCTGCAACGGATGCCGGGGGTTCGTGTGGAAGCGTGCGCTCCTGGTCAAACCGTGGAACATTTCCTTTGATGGTGCAGCTCTGCCCGCATCCTGGCAAACAGGAGGGGAGGCCGACGCCAGCCTTGGCGCGAAGGGGTCACGAGCAATGCCCCCTCTAAGCTGTGGAGCCTTGTGAGCAAAAATTCTACTTTGTGAGCTGCTGGCATTAAAGTGGTGAGTGAGCGATTTGACTAGTGCATAAATCAGTTTGCCCTGGAGCTATCCTGCCTGAGCTAAGACAAAATAGTGTGAGCCGGAAGCTAAAAAATGGTGAGCTAACTCACACTAGCTCAGCTTAGGGGGAACACTGGTCACGAGAACGGTATACTCCCGTCCAGTGCAGTCTGTGGAACACTCCCACCTTCCCAGCAGCAACGGGAGATAATCTGCAGTCTGGCCCACCAGCGCCACGTTTCACGACGCAAGCAGTCCCTCCCCCCGACCTCTGGCCAAGCGGCCGCTGTCTCAGACGTGAACCGTGTCATACCTCGAACCGCAGCACCTCTTTGCGGAGAACCGCTGAGATCCGCTCAAACTCCCGTTCGTACTGCGTCACTCGCGATTCCCACTGGAAAAGAGAAGCAATTGTGAAGAGAGACCAGTGTTCCCTCTAAGCTGAGTTAGTGTGAGCCAGCTCAGCTTTTTATAGCCTCCGGCTCACACATTTTTATCTCGGCTCAGGATGGGGCTCCAGAGCAAACATATTTAGGCAGTAGCCAAATGGCTCACAACTTTAATGCCGGTCGCTCACAAAGTACAATTTTTGCTCACAAGACTCCACAACTTAAGAGGGGTGAAGGTGTGCTTGCCACTTTTCTCAGGCACTTTTTGCCCCAAAAGCCTCATCATGACTGGCAAAGGCTTATCCTGTGCGCAGGTGAATCCTCTACCAGAAGCTCTAAAGTTATTACAAAGCGCAGGAAGCCTGATAAAACCGCTTTCCTTCTGGAGCGGGGAATTGCAGAGGCCAGTTCCAGAGTGCCGCAGCCCTTCTGTGCCTTGTGCGGCTTATCAGGACAGCACAGCCACAGACACCACGGAGAGAGAACTGCTCTCACTGCCTGGGACTGCAGGGCGGTGGGCAAGCTGCACTCGGCGACCTGCAACCCTGCCAGACACAGCTCTGCAAAAACCTCCACTACCGAAGCATCCCACAGATCTGTTTTAAAAACAGTGAGTTGGAAAGATACCCTAACCTGGATATCCCCAGGTAGCCCAATTTTGTCAGCTCTTGGAAGCCAAGCAGGGTGAGCCACGGTTTGGACTTGGACGGGAGACCACCAAGGAAGTCCAGGGTCGCTATGCGGAGGCAGGCCATGGCCAACCACCTCTGAACGCCTCTTGCCTTGAAAACCCGACAGGGTTGCCATAGGTCAGCTGTGACTTGCCAGCAGGGGTCATTTCATAGACAAAAAGCTCATTAGCATATGCCACATCCCCTGGCATCACCGGATGTGAGTCAGAAGGCTCCACTGGACTGTTTTGGATTGCTAACTATTGGGGGGGGGGGGGACTTGCCAGCAAAAAAAGAGTTGGAAAGATAGCCCCAGTGAGGGGTCTGGAGACCAGGTCCTATGAGGAAAGGTTGAAGGAGCTGGGTATGTTTAGCCTGGAGAGGAGATGACTGAGGGGGGATATGATCACCATCCTCGGGTACTTGAAGGGCTGTCATATGGAGGATGGTGTGGAGTTGTTTTCTGTGGCCCCAGAAGGTTGGACCAAAACCAACGGGTTGAAATTAAATCAGAAGAGTTTTTGGCTAAACATCAGGAAGAAGCTCCTGACAGTTAGAGCGATTCCTCAGTGGAACAGGCTTCCTCGGGAGGTGGTGGGCTCTCCTTCTTTGGAGGTTTTCCAACAGAGGCTAGATGGCCATCTGACAGCAGTGCTGGATTCTGTGAACTTGGGCAGATCACAATAAGGGAGGTCAGGGAGGGTTGCCTCAGTGCTTGGTTCTCGTGGCCCATTCTTACACGTCCAGGGAAATGCGGAGATCGCCATTTGGGGTCAGGCAGCAATTTTTCTCCAGGCCATTTTGGCCAGGGATCTTGGAGGGTTTTTGCCATCTTCTGGGCATGGAGCAGGGGTCACTGGCTGTGTGTGGAGGATATTTGTGAATTTCCTCCATTGTGCAGTGGGTTGGACTAGATGACCCTGGAGGTCCCTTCCAACTCTATGATTATAGGAACCCTACCCCCCCCCCCCCAGGGTCCCTGAGCCACCTATTGGCCCAGCCTAGATCTCCACTCCTTGGTGACTTGGCAATGCTCCCTCTAAGCTATGGAGTCTTGTGAGTAAAAATTCCACTTTGGGAGCTACTGGAATTAAAGTTGTGAGCAGGTGATTTGGCTACTGCATAGTCTGCTCTGGAGCCATCTTTCCTGAGCTAAGACAAAAATGCGTGAGCTGGAAGCTAAAAAACTGAGCTAGCTCACACTAACTCAGCTTAGAGGGAACACTGTACCCCCGGCAAAAGCAACATTTAGCACAAACTTCCAACCCTTTCAGAACAGCAACAACAAAGGAAGCTACTTAAACAGCAAGGCGTGCATGCAGAAATACAAGTGGTCTGGCTAGATCGGTCTGTAACTGGGACTGGACAGATTCGTGGAGAAGTCCAGCAGTGGCTACCAGTGTTCCCTCTAAGCTGAGCTAGTGTGAGCTACCTCACAGTTTTTTAGCCTCCGGCTCACACATTTTTGTCTTGGCTCAGGAAGGAGGGCTCCAGAGCAAACTAATTTATGCAGCAGCCAAATTGCTTGCTCACAACTTTAATGCCGGCAGCTCACAAGACTCCACAGCTTACAGGGAACATTGGTGGCTACTAGCCATGGTGTGACTCAGGGGAACCTCCACATTCAGGGGCAGAAAACCTTTGAGTACCAGTGCTGGGAGGCAACATCAGGGGGAGGCCTCTGCCCCTATTCGCTGTTGGGCTGGCCTCCGCCGGTACTGTGCAAGACAGGATGCTGGACGACATGGACTACTTGTCTGACCCAGCAGGGCTGTCCTTGTGCAACCGATGTCCGGTGCGTGTTTGCAGAGTTCACACAAAAGGCAGAGTATGAAGGCAGCGGCATTGGCCCCCACCCTCGCAGGGCCCCCCCCCACTCCGGCTTCCGATCACTGGCAACAGTGCACCTGGGTGTTTTTATCTGACCATCTGAATGGTCACTAGCCATTAAGAGTGCACCCAAGTGTTTAACCCTTCAAGTGTCTTGTGTGCAACCAATTCTTTAGGAATGATTTAAAGCAACGCTTCTCCTGTACTTGTCCGCGTCCAGTACATTTTGATCCCACCAGTGATACCGACGGACAGCTCCTTTCTTGTATTTTATCCTCACAACCACCCTGTGAGGCAGCACAGGCTGAGGGGGAGCGACCGGGTCGGAGAGCCTTGCAGCAGATCCCAGCCTGACAATCTCCTGAGCTGTAGAAAAGAGCAAGAGTCCAGGAGCACCTGGAAGACTAGCAGAATTCATGGCAGGGGAGGAGCTTTCCTGAGTCCCTGCTCACTTCTTCAGGTCTGAAAAGAGCAAGAGTCTGGGAGCACCTGAAAGACTAACAGACGTCATGGCAGGGGAGGAGCTTTCCTGAGTCGCTGCTCACTTCTTTAGATCTGAAAAGAGCAAGAGTCCGGGAACACCTGGAAGACTAAGAAAGACTAACAGAATTCATGGCAGGAGAGGACCTTTCCTGAGTCGCTGCTCACTTCTTCAGGTCTTTATCAATCTCCTGAGCAGTCAGCCAATTTTGATTAAGTTCCAGCATTTCAGAGAACCCTCGACGGCTCGTCTTTCCATACGCCCCGCTTCTTGTGCCCCGTCTCCCAATAATTTCCTCAAACAAAAGCCCCCCCTCCTGTGCCTCTCTTCTTGAGGGAGAAACCCCACCCACCACCCCAATCATTCAGCGGCCCTTTTCTCTTCTCCGTCTTTGCAGCAGCGTTTGAGACAGAGACTGTGGTGCATTTACACGCTCAGAATACGCTCTCGGGCTGTCCTTGTGCTCCTGTCCTCTCCAACAGTTGATATCCATTTTCCCTTTCGCCACCGTTGCATATCTTTACACCGACGTTCATTTCAGTGAACAGCTGAAGAAAGGAGCAGTGACCTATGGAAGCTCCGACCCTGCCACAGATTCTGTTAGTCTTTCAGGTGCTACCGGACTCTTGCTCTTTTCAGAGCTGAAGGAGTGAGCCGTGACCCTGGACCAACGTTCCCTCTAAGCTGTGGAGTCTTGTGAGCAAAAATCCTACTTGGTGAGCTACTGGCATTAAGGTTGTGAGCGAGTGACTTGGCTACTGCATAAGTTAGGTTGCTCTGGAGCCATCCCTTCCTGAGCTAAGACAAAACCGTGTGAGCTGGAGGCTAAAAAACTGTGAGCTAGCTCACACTAACTCAGCTTAGAGGGAACACTGCCCTGGACAGCTCCTCCCCTGCCACAAACTTTGTTAGTCTTTAAGGCGCTACCAGACTCTTGCTCTTTTCAGATCTGAAGAAGTGAGCCGTGACTCACGAAAGCTCCTCCCCTGCCACAAACGATGTTAGTCTTTAGGGTACTTTTAAGGTGCTATGGAACTCCTGTTCATTTTACTGTGAGTGAGACTCCGGAATTGTTACAGTGGGGGAAAATGCGGCTCCCCCCACCCCACCCCAAGCACTCCAGCAGTGCTTCCCCATTTCCCCAGGAAGCTGCCCACTACGGACCGCTCCTTTTCCTGAAGTAAACCCGAGCGACTGGCGTCAGGACGCTGAGGCTCGCCTCTCCCGGTTCCCCCACGCAGGCAGACTCTTGCCTGGCCTGGGCTTGTGCTTCTGGCTCACCTCTGAGATCTCCTCCTTGGCTTGCTGAAGCTTGTCGGGTTTATTGGCCCACAGCAGCCTGGCCTCCGCTTCCCGTTTCTTTTGCAGCATGATCTGGCCATCCTGCCAGCGCTGCCAGCCCTTCATTCGCTGGTCAAAGGCACCCTGTGGGGAAGGAGGGAGGAAAGGGCACAGATCAGAAGCCGCCCCCCCCCCTTGCTAGTTTATTTTTGTTTATTTTATTTATTTATTTTTGGGATTTATATCCCGCCCTACCCATACGGCCCAGGGCGGCAAACAAGCGGCAAACGCCGGACATAAAACATAAATCACATTAAAACCTCAATAAATACAGACTAAAAAGGTGCTCTACAGATCATTTCAAAAATTCATTTTAAAAGTTCATTTTAAGTTCAAGACGGTCGATGCAAAATGGGGGAGGGCCTGATGCGCATCTGGGGCAGTGATGCTCTGTGTTCTTGGTGCTGGGGGGGGCAAAGTGGGAGGGCTTCTGGCCCCACTGGTGGACATCCCGATGGCACCTGGGTTTGGGCCACTGAGTGACGCAGTGTTGGACTGGATGGGCCATTGGTCTGATCCAGCATGGCTTCTTTTATGCTCTTATGTCTGGGGCAGTGGTGCTCTGTCTTCTTGATGCTTGGGGAGGGGGGAACAGTGGGAGGGCTTCTGGAGTTCTGGCCCCACTGGTGGACCCCTTGATGGTACCTGGGTTTTGGTCACTGTGTGATGCAGTGTTGGACTGGATGGGCTATTGGCCTGATCCAGCATGGCTTCTTTTATGCTCTTAGGTCTGGGACAGTGGTGCTCTGTCTTCTTGGTGTTTGTGGGGGTGGCAACAGTGGGAGGGCTTCTGGAGTTCTGACCCCACTGGTGGACATCCCGATGGCACCTGGGTTTTGGCCACTGTGTGATGCAGTGTTGGACTGGATGGGCCATTGGCCTGATCCAGCATGGCTTCCCTTATGTTCTCACGTCTGAGGCAGTGATGCTCTGTCTTCTTGGTGCTGGGGGGGCAACAGTGGGAGGGCTTCTGGAGTTCTGACCCCACCGGTGGACCTCCTGATGGCACCAGGGTTTTGGCCACTGTGTGATGCACTGTTGGACTGGATGGGCCATTGGCCTGATGCAGCGTGGCTTCCCTTATGTTCTCACGTCGGAGGCAGTGATGCCTTTTAACAGGGCAAGAGGCTCTCCAAAGCTTCTTTTATAGGAGAGAGAGAGAGAGACTCCCAAAGGCAGCCTCTCACATTGTGGCACATCACAACTGCAGACAAAATACAAGGCTAGTTTCAGGTTCGGAGAAATCTCAGGGAAACGATACGTGAAATTCAGGTTTGGTTACAAGGAGATTTTTAATAAAGCATCAGACTTACAGAAACTTGCAGGCTAGGCTTCCATCAGCTGGGCCTCGAGCGCGTGCACACACACAGCAAAGCTTGCCTGAATCCGAGAGCGCATGCACAGCTAAAACTACGTATCTTATACCCTGTGCTGGCTACTTGTCAAATAACCAACTAAGCCACCTTGCACCTGGCGTCCGGTGGGAGGGAAGACACAACCCAGGCCTTTGAAGATAAGGGCTGCTAACGAGCATCGGGGGGGGGGGATTCCCTTGGGAGCGGCCGATATCCATTCTTCCACAAGACTCAGGGCAACTCAGCGTCAGTGCTGTGGCAAAGACGGAGTCACGCAGGCCAGACTCCCAGTCCGGCAGCAAAGTTGAAGCTGCTCTGGGGGGCCCCACTGTGGAGAAAAGGAGGACTCAGTCCGGCTGCTGGAAGTCAGCGAGGGCAGGCACAGGGCTCTGCAACTATCCTGCAGGGGGAGACATGGAGGTTACAGCTTCAGACGAGCAGGTAACCTCCAGGAGAGAGCTGCAACCTCCAGGAGACTCTGCCGTCTGCGGCAGCAGAGAGGAAAGTAAGTCACCCGGTGCAGTGCTGCTCTGGAACGCGGCAGAAGAAAAAGAAACCAAGGGACGGGCCGCAGCTCAGTGATGGAGGATATGCTTGGCATGCAGAAGGTCCCGCATTCAATCCCCAGCATCTCCAGTTAAAGGACCTGGCAGGGGGTGATGTGGAAGACCTCTGCCTGAGTCCCTGAAGAGCTGCTGAAGAGTCCCTGAAGTGGTGGCGGCTACAAGCATGGACGGCTTCAAAAGGGAATTAGATAAGCATATGGAGCAGAGGTCCATTAGTGGCTATTAGCCACAAGGTATAGATAGGAGCTCTCAGTCTGGGGCAAGTGATGCTCTGTGTTCTTGGTGCTTGGGAGGAGGGGGCAACAGTGGGAGGGCTTCTAATGTCCTGGCCCCACTGGTGGACCTCCTGATGGCACCTGGTATTTCTGGCCACTGTGTGACAGAGTGTTGGACTGGATGGGCCTTTGGCCTGATCCAACATTGGCATCTCTTATGTTCTTATGCTGCCAGTGTGAATAGGCAATGCTGACCTTGGTGGACGGAGGGTCTGGATCCCTATGAGGCAGGTGTGTGCGACAGGACCAAGGCAGCAACGGGGTGCCAGCGTCCAAGGCTGGCTACGCAAGCAGCTCAAGTCGGGGACAGTGACACTGCCAGAAAAAAGGTCCAGCAGATCGGCTATCACAGGCTGGAGATCTGGAGCCCAGGGGGTGCAGTGTAAATTTCAAGACAGCAGAGCATGGAGCAGTTTTGGCCACCACGGGTAGGCTGTTACACTGGGGCCGTTTGTCCAGCCCGCGGTTGCAGAATGATGACAGCCTTTTGCACCAAAAGGAGCTGCGGTGCCTCAAGTGGTTAAGACGCTGAACTGCAGGCTGTGGAAGGTCGGTAGTTCAGCAGTTTGAGACCCGAGTGTGCCGCATGACGGAGTGAGCTCCCGTCTCTAGTTCCAGCTCCTGCCAACCTAGCAGTTCAAAAGCAAGAAATTGCAAGTATCCAAGTCAGTATCGCCCACTCAGACCGGCAGCGGCTCTCCAACGTCTCATCAGGCAGAGGTCTTTCACATCACTTACTGCCTAGTCAACTGGAGATGCCGGGGCTTGAGCCTGGGACCTTCTGTGTGCCGGGCAGATGCTCCGCCGCCACTGAGCCACGGCCCCTCCCCTACTCAGTGTGCCCGAAAAGGCAGGCGACACGCGGAGAACACTCACCCTGACGACCGAGAGGAGGCGGATGTAGTCGCTCAGCAGCTCGGCCAGGAGGAAGAAGTCGCTGTTGGCTTGCTCCAGGTGCAGCTGCTCGATCTTCTCCTCCACCTCCGCCAGCTGGGAGAGCGCCCGGGACAGGGCCGTGTTGTCCTCGGAGCTCCCCAGCATGGCCAGGCTCTTGGCAAACTGGGCCGTATTCACCGACAGCTCTGGAGGGGAGGGGAGAGACACGGGAAGGGGAGCGTCAGCACAGCCAGAGAGCCGCTAGGGAGGGGCAGTGCGTGAGACACAGAAACCGGGCAGGAAGGGGGGGGGGACTCAGCACACAGGATCTTTCCCGGGCCTGTTCTGATAGCCAGGTTCTGGAAACCCCCCCCCCCCCAATGTTCCTGTGGTCGAGCAAAGGAGTGGCCAACGGAGGCGGAAGGAAAGGCAGGATAGATGTGTTTCCCCGTAGAGATGCAACGATTTATGCCGTCAACGGCCTGCATTTCTCAGGCAAGAATGTGCGTCAGGACGGAATGGGTTTGTTTGTTTGTTTATTTATTAAGCTTATGTCCCACCCTATCCCACAACATATAAAGGATAAAGCAATAAACATATAACCAAAACCCGATTTAAAACAAACGGAACGAGATCGCAACTAAAATGAAGACAACAGCTCCAGAGCAGTCCCCAGTGCCTCCCGCAGGATGTTAGTTAGTCAGACAGTAAGTTACGGTGAGCAGGGAAGGCCAAGATGGTTGAACGTCCACCGCCTCAGCCAAAGGCCTGCTGGAACAGCTGCGTTTTAGAGGGTCCCGCGGTGCCGTGATCTCAGGCGGGAGCGTGTTCCACCGGGCCGAGGCCGAGGCAGAAAAGGCCCTGGCCCTCGTTGAGGCTAAGCGGACGTTTTTTGAGCCAGGGACTACCAGTAGATTGTTATCTGCAGAGCGCAAGGCTCTCTGGGGCACATATGGGGAGAGACGGTCCTGTAGGTCTGACACAATCGGACCCCTTGTGAACATGGCACTTCATGAGATCTACAACTGGCCTTGCACCGTGGCACCTAGATGTAGCAGGAGACTGAGGAAGCCACAGGAAACTCTGAAGGCGGGGGCCCTGATTTCGCAGTCCTGGGGAGACGGCTGTCCCATGGGGTCACTGGCAGC